AATGATCCAGGTTTTATAACGTTAATAGTGGAGGGTGGTCATAGGGTGCACATCTGATGTTGCCCACAGTGGTCCTCAGTGCACTCAGGGAGTTTGTGTTTACGTATGCCAATTCATATGAAAAATTAGAGGGAAGGTTGGCTTCAAGTTTTTTTGGCATACTAATCACATCACAAATCATTACGTTCTGACATAAAGCCCCAGGGCGTCATGATGGTGGTGGACTTGGGCACCTCTGCTCAGAAAAACAAACCTTTGACTCTGATGTAATACTCTCATTTTTAATGTTTTTATTTGTTTTTTTGTGAAAATCATCACAATTAACAGAAATAAAGGTTAGTACAATCATTTCAGCTTGACCAGAGAATGCTTAAAACAAATGATGAGAGGCTTGAAATTAATAAGGTAAAGTTTTTGTAAACTTTTAACCAGAACTTAAACTTCCAGTCTCAAAGGTATAACAAGATGAGACCTCTGAGCTTGCAGCTTTTACACAAAGATAATTACCTGTAACAAGTTGCCTTGCAGACAGACATGAATTAAGTTGAATGTTTTATTCATACAACCATATGATGCCAATGACAGCATATGACAATGCCTTTGAGAGCTTCCCTCACCTAGTGCCAAAAGATCAGAATCAGAATCAAGTTTATTGCCAAGTAGGTTTGCACTTACAAGGAATTTGACTTGGTGTTGTTGGTGCAGACAAAAAACAAAATAAGATAGAATATATATATATATATATATACACAGAAGCTATATACACACAGTAGACTGTGCGTTAATGTAACACAGAAATCCTGAATGGGGGAGAGAAACATGGTCCAGTGTCATGGGCGGCTCTTGGCCTTGTTGATAAGGCTTATCCAGCCACAGAACTTTAAAATGAATCTCTTAACACCCACCCAATTTTAAGTAATCCTCGCCTCAAAGGCTACCCAAATGAAAAAGCAAATAAGTAGTGATGGTGAGATGAACCCTCATGAGGCATTAAACCATTTGGACAACATTTTTCTTGTTATTTTATCCCATTTAAGTTCCTTTCCATTGTTAATGATTGGTATGTATAACAAAATCTTTTGTAAGTTTTTTGTGTTTAAAAAAAGAACAATCAGTTAAGGTACACTTTGTCTACAAAAGTAGACATGTAATTTGGCAGTGTTTTTTGCCCAGTCTATATTTGTAGAAGGGCAAACCAATACAAATTATTCATATTAACCAAAATACTAGTTAAGTAATATCGCAACTTTCAAAGGTCTACGGTGGGTCTCAAACCAAGAACCTCAGGATTGGAAGTCTATATTATACAACTGACACCACTGGCAATGGTGACTATAGATTAGAAAGGAATACTACTTAATACTGATGTTACAACTGTAATGGGTGGTTTGCTCAGATTTTGATCATTACATTGTTTAATCTAACCTAAGTAGATTTAACCAATTAAATTTTTTATTTTTTTTTTTCCAATGGGAACTGTAAGCCCAAATTACATGCCTAATATATGTAATACATCTAATACATACATATTTACACCTTAGTATATAAATAAAAATAATATGGCTAAAACACAGCCTAAACTGCAGAAGTTAAAACATGACTCATAGTTGTTTTTTTCTTGTAGAGCAGAGGTTAAGGATTAGCAGTCCGGATCCGGACCCACCTGCTGGCTAATACGGACCCTGCCTGATTTAAAACATTTATAAATTACTGCATGTTGTCCAATGGCCATCTCTAACTTAACTTCTGCCGTTTCTCCTGGTAAAGCCCTCTGGAGCATCGGGAACCAGGCTGAACTTGATACAAATTAGCCACTAAGCTGTGTTAGTCTGGGTCACTGCTGTGAGCTACTTTAAGACACAGCAGGCAAACGTGTGGAAAGCTGGGCGATGGGAAAGAAGGAGAAGACGATGAGAAAAAAGAGAGCACAGAAAGTATGGACAGCTGGAAGAACTGTGGTGAACTAGTGACAGAAAAGTGAAATGGCGTGCTCAAAGATGAGCCTTTTAGAGTATGTTTGGCTCAACCTACTGCTGTGAAGCAGGATTCTCCACCATGAACATAATCAAAAATAAATATGGATCCAGGCTCAAAATGAGCACCATGATATGTGCTTTAGAATGGCTTTGTCACCATTTAAACCCAGGTTTAAAGCCTTGCAGGGCAGCATAAAGCCCACTGCTCTCATTAAGCCACAAAAAAGAAAGAAAAAAAGGTGTTTTAATAAAATATGTGAATCAGAAAATTGTCTATATAACAAACTGAAAGATTTGTTATATAGACAAATGTTATATGTTTTATGTTATGTGTTTTTCTCTACTTCAAAAGACACTTTAGATTTTAAAATGGTAAAATGTTCAATTTTTTAAATATTCTTTTATTTAAAAAATCTATGTATAACATGGATTCATAAACACCTCATTTTATTTCAGTGTTAAATTCTGTTTAAAGTAACAGATTATAATAAAAAAATGTCTCCAGACCTTTACTGGTTGATTATTTTATTAGGATTTTAAATTGGTGACTCCTGTTCTAGAAAATGATAGGTCTTTTTTTGAATAGCAGTAACAAAGACATGCTTGAGAATGGGCATGTGTCATTGTTTTATATTTATTCTGCATCATGTCAACCGCAGAACTGCAGAAAATTTCAGACCTCTAGCTATAACATTTCCAGCACTATAAGACTAACTTTTGGCGTCACCGTCTCCAAATCTCTCCAAATATGTCAGATTATGCCAAATGGTTTTTATTGCTTTTAAACCCAAAAATCATACTGAAGTGTTTTGATGTCCACAAATATTTTGAAGCAAATATTTTTTTATTTTTCTGATTCCATCTGTTTATCCAACAGTGTGCAGTGATCCAGGATCTAATCTGCCTGTGTGCAGTTTATGACTGGGGATATATCTCTGCTGCACTATTCAAATGGGCCATGCTTAGCCTTGTTTTAAAGGCAATTTAATGTACTCTAGAGCCAAACATTGCATGTTGGACTCAACCAATTGCAGCCGGACTTCATGAGGAATAATATGAGGGGAATCGTGTGTAAAGAAGGCAGCTGAGAGGGAGTGCTTGTGACGCTTCAAGGGCTGTCCCGGCATCAGATCTCAAACAAAACTGACGGGGACACTTTTGATTTGTAGGCTGGAAAGTGAGAAAAACAAACATACCAAAGATCAACCAGAAATGTTCATGGAAGCAAGGATAATAGCAAGACGGTTAGCATTAACTGTAAGGATCAAACTTTTCCGATGGTTAAAAACTTATTTTATATGCTGATTTTCTCATCATGGATTGTTTTTATTACGAATATTTTGTATATTTTGTTACTTTTTATCAATAGACAATCATGGACAAATGGAAAATAAACAACCTAAGATTGGACTCATAATATGGCCTCAGACTTGCTTGAAAGATAGGAAGTCGAAACTTTTATTTAAAAAAATTATGATATAACATGCTAGGGTGCACAGTGTTGCTGTCGATAGCAGTGCTGCCTTACAGCAAGAAAGTTCTGGGTTCGATTCCCAGCCCGTGTTCTTTCAGCATGGAGTTTGCATGTTCTCCCTGTGCATGTGTGGGTTATCTCTGGATACTTCGGCTTCCTCCCACAGTCCAAAAACAGGACTGTTAGGTTAATTGGCTTCTCTACATTCTCCTTAGGTGTGAGTGTGTGTGAGAATGGTTCTTTGTCCTCCTTGTCCCTGTGTTGACCTGCGATGGACTGGCGACCTGCCCAAGGTGTACCTCGCTTCTCACCCATTGACAGCTGGAGATAGGCACCAGCAGTCCTTGCCATCACAGCTGGGATAAGGGTGTCGGAAAATGAATGGATGTATGATTTAACATGCTGCTATATATTTATTTATTGTGCTTTGGTGCTCATGGTGTCCATACAATGAACCTGGCAGTTGAATTGTGGCTAATCTAAGCTTTCTAAAGATATATAACATCTATATTGTTAAAAATTTAACTGGTGTTTTTCTCAAACGTACTGCTTTGTTTAATGTAAATATATAACGCGGATCACAGGTGTCGTGCCAAGGTAGTTATCCCGGCCACAATTTGTACCCCTTCGCTGGGAGGAGGCATGGAATAGGAGCTGATGGAGGTCACTTCACCTCAATTCTTTAAGGGTATTAAAACATTCAGAAATTGTATATATATAAATCACAAACATAGATTTAAGCACTAAATATGACATAGGATAAAGTAATATTCCTACTGCCTGTAGCCTATCATATGTTCATGCACACTCCATTTATTATGTTATTTTCGTTGTAATGATATTTTTTGACAACAGTTTTCAATGAGATGCGAACATTTAGACACCGTGAAACAATGAGATCATTTTTTTATGGAGCATGTTGGAAAAAAAACAAGGAGCCTTTCAGCGAAAGGAGTTTACACAGTTATCAGCGTCCTGTTTGAAGCAAACACTCTAGTCTCGTTTTTTTAATCAATATCATGTCTATAACATGTGAAGTGAAGAATAAAATAACAATGCTCATCTTTTAACAAAGATAACACATCTCAAGTTTAGCTATTAATAGGTTGGAATTGAGGAGGTGTGAGCTCCGTTGATCCTATATTTGGCTCCATCCATCTTCCCATCAATTTCAACCATCTTCCTTGTCCCTGATGAAGAAAAGCAGGCCCAGTAAAATAAGTTGAGAGGAGATGTTGTGAATTGGGGGTTTATAGATAAATTGAACCAAGTTCCAGGAAAGCTTGGTTATGTTGGCTAAATTTCTGGTTCGTAGCAGATCGGGCGATGACATAGTGAAGATTTCTGAGGAGTATCATCCTTTAAGGGCAGGGATCAGTGAAATTCTAATATTCAACCTATTAAAAAAAGAAAACACACCCTGTTTTTTTGTTTTGTTTTTTTTTGTTTTTTTAATTGCAGCAAAGATTTTAACAGACAAAGTACAAATTATACAGCGTTGCGCAAGACGGAGCCAACATAGAACTAAACAACAGAACAAATCCCTTTTATTGTTTTCAGGTGCCTGATCCCAGGACAGCATCTTTAATGTGAAACACTCCTCTGCCTTTCTTATATAGAGGCAACTGAAATCCATCCCAAAACAGATTAAAGGCCAACAACGTGCATCAATCTTGAGGATTTCTGGTTGTCTACTTTATCCATGTAACAGAAAACATCCAATCTTTTAATGTCATGTAGTTCTGAAATGCTCCAAGCTCTACAGTAAATATATGTTAACTGCAGCTGATACAAATATAGAGTAGTACAGCTCTAATGCTTTTAAATTTAATGCACAGAATAATATAATTACAAAATATAAAAGATCTTAACAATTCTTCAGCATGATGAAGGCCTTGTAGTGCCTTCTTCTCCTGTAATGTTTTTTTTTTACTTTTCACCAGGTATTTCACTCTTTGTTTTTCAAAAACTTTCAAATGGGCTTTTGTTTAGCAAGTTTTTAAATTGCATATTTCAATAAAGGTGACGCTAACATGCGCAGAACATGCACATGGTTATCCTTAGCTTTTCAGTTTAGAAGTCATGTTAGCCATAATAGCTAAGGATAGAAAGTTTCACATAGAGTGAAGAGTTACTTCCAATCTTTACCATGCATATCTGCATAAGTTAGTTTCATCAGATTAAATTAGCTTAAGCGACACTCCTCACACTGCAGGTAAAACATAGTTGTATATTTATTATTTCTTTATAAGTAAATTGCTAATCTAGATTAATTTCTTTTTCACCATTCAATGGTATGGGCCTTGGTACAAATTGAGATTCCACAGGCCCACCCACAGTGTCATCCTTACAGAGCAGAAACACAGGGATACGCAGCTATGGATTTAGTAATCTATTAATCTAGCAATTAGTTCTTTAACTAAGAAGAAATTCACTTAGGAAATCAGCATACCATGATTAGCAAGTGATTAAACATACAAAAACAAACCTTTCTTTCACATTTTAAAAGTAATTTAAATGGCTAAAAAATGTCCAACTTAATTAAAATGCTCAGATATGCCAACTTTTAAACAGACAAAGACAGATTTTCATTTAAAATGCAAAATGTATATTTTTTAAATTCTGCCCTGGGTGGGTTGTTTATTCGGCAGATAGCAAATTTTAGAGTTAAAATTAATTAAAACAAAATTAACTAAAACAAAAATAAAACTGATCAAAGCTCAAAGTCTTAAAATTAGATGTTTTTTTAGTATATGAATGTTTTGAAATGATAGGCTCCATTTAAGAAAATCATTACGTTTCATATATGTTCAATATGTATCAATGTATAATCATTTAATTATACCTGCATATTTTGTTGTACTGTAACATGTAAGTAAACTTTAGCTTTGACTGACATGTTGTGGTCCAGCTTCTCATTCACAAGTTAGCTGTACATCACAAGGTACATCCACTGGAAAAGAAAGAATAAAATGTTATTTATTTCACAGTCGTGATTAAATCTAGTGCAAACGACACTAGATTTGAAAAAACAAGAATGCAGGATCCTAAGCATAGTATGTAATGTCTAAGCTAATTTCTAACCCTAAGCCTAAGCCACAATTGAGGCTTTTAAAAAGAAAATATTGAATTCATCACCTCTGGTTCTTGAAGAGTCACAGCTGTACCATTGGACAAGTTGCTGAACATTTCTGTTAATAAAAGAAAAAGAAACACCAGAAAAAAAAAAAAAATCAATGTTTTAGGAAATTCAGAAAGATAGCTTTAATATCAAATAAGAGGGCAGCCATGGATTGGTAATATTGAAATAATAAACTGAAATAAGCCTTAAAGGTATTTAAATTAGATGAAATGCACCTGCAGCCAGTGTTATAGTTTCTACCTTCAGAGTAGCTTGACAGACACAACTAGACTAGTTTAATAAAGATATTCATTCATAGTAGAATCCAAGTACAGATCTGGCTGCATCTATTTATCAGTACTAATACTCACCCATGTTTTTGGTTTAACCTCTAAAACCCAATCAGAAACATTATCTGGACTGATCATGTACTTACGAGACATGCGTTCAAAGCGAAGAGCCAAACCAATGAAGTTCTCCAGAGATATATATCCAGAGGAGTCGCCGTAACGCAGAGCCATTAAATTCAGCATGTTGTCGCTGCTCCTTTTTCCTGCGGGACACAGGGGTTATAGCAGTGGTTCCTAACCGTGTTCCTCAGGGACCCCTGTCCTGCATGTTTTAGGTTTTTTCCTTTTTGCATCACACCAGAAAATAATGGATGACTAACAGGCTTCTGTAGCACTTGATTGCAGATGAGGAGCCTTAATTTGAACAGTGTGAGGGAAGGGGTCCCTGAGGATGAGGGTAGGGGATCAATGGGCTATAGGGTGAACTTTAGGCTAACATTCATATATTTATGTAAAAAATAATAATAAAAAGATTATTTTCTTTCTTTAATTTAATTAATTAATTTGCATGTTAATCTAATGTAGCTGAGGAATATGACCATTTAAACGGATAAAAAGTTAATTAACTTTACCTGTATGCTGTTGCTTCTGATATTTTAAACATTGTGCAATTTACAGCAGCTGCTTCTGACTGAGAAAGTTGTGGGTCAAATGTATTACTTAAAGGAAAATTCCGGTTTTTAACACTTTTAGCCCATTTTCTGTAGTGTCCAGGATGAAATCGAATGATCGACACCAAAATTTTGATGATTGGTCCTGTCTCTG